CGGGGTAAGACGGACGACGTGGCCGATGCGAACCGACACGTGTATGTGCGGGCTGGCGGAGTCGTGCGGCGCACTTGGCGGGGGAGGAGAGATCCCATCATCGATCGGATGCTTCCCAGCACTTCATCATTTCCCGTACGTCCTTCTCTCTCTTTGACCTGTAAAAAGTTAGCCTCCACCAGGCCTTTCTACGGGAATACGGATCGTAAAATTCGGCAAAAAAGAGAGTAAAATTGGCCGAGGGAGTCCGGTCGCGGGGAGGTAGGTTCAAACCTACAAGGCGGCCAAACTCCCCTGGCAAATATTCTCCTATATATAGCCAGCGTGGTTACTTAGTAGTCTGGTAGAGACTAGTAAAAATTCGCCTGCCCTGACTGGTCTAGAGTTGAGCTACTCTCCAAGTAGAACATTGGGCTTATTTTTGGCGTGTTTTTGTCTTATTTTATCGGTCTTTCTTTTTTTGCACTGGCATCTCGTTGGGTTGGCGTAAAAAATATACCAGAGAAAAAAGACTAACAGCGCGCCATAAATGAGCCCAAACCTCTGCTTGGAGAGCTAGCCTCCGTAGCAGGCTTATAGAACTGGGGGTTTGGTGGTCTTCGGCTGTTTTCTGATTAGCCCAGTAAAAACGGGGGTAATTCAACCAGGCCGGCTATGTTGTCTATATGCAATCAGAAAATAGCACATAAAAGCTCCCAAAAGACCCTGAAGACCCCCAAAACCCCCAGTTTTTGGCATGCTATTGAGGCTATTGGAGAGTAGAGTTGAGCGGCTCATGCACGAATCTTCCGGAAGGCGCAGGTGTGAGTGTGCGTTGGAGGCGCTGGACCGCCTGGCGTTGAAGTAATATAGCACTACCCGCAACAGGAAGGTGAAGGTGATACTTAGTAACCGGACTGACAACTTTGCCAAAAAAACAAATGGAGGATTCTGCCAATCACTTCCGTTAGAAGTGGGAGCCCGACATTTGACCAAATCGTGTGAACGGAAAATGGCTCTGAAACATGAAAACAATCGCTGTGAACACTCTGCGTCCCTTCAACTTACTGTGGCCACATTTTACCTTCTATTTCTGGCTTTCGAGAAGATCCTAAACTGGTGGAAACATCCTGGGCGGAGCTAATTTTAGAATTGTTCGTTTTGAAACTAAATTGGCCCGGGCAGTCTAGACTTGTGGGCTGCAAGAGCGATGCGAGGTTTAATTCTTCCCTCCACTTCGCTGTAGTAACGACTAATCTAGAACCGCTGTTCGTACATTTACCTTCGGGAGACTGAACCGACCTGATGTAGAACTTTGAGAAGGGCGTTTAAGGTAAACATAACAGAGAGAGGGGCATTTAAGGTAAATTTGCGGCGAAGTGCCAGAAAAATATTCCCGACCTTTAAAAAAAAATCCGTTGGTGGGACGTTTTTTTTCCGTCCAAAACCTCTTTCAGAGCCTGAAACGCGTTATACAGGTGAATTTTTCCAAAGTCTGGCGTCGTTTACGTTACCTTATTCCCAGGACAATTGGTCGATGGACGAAAGATTCTAACCCTTCCTTTCATTGTTCACCAACAGCCAAGTACAAAACTTCTGAGTTTCTATTCTAAGTGCTGATTGTTAGGTTTTATTCCTCACCCCGTCCTTCACGATACCGTTTTCTTATACGTATACGCACCAGGATGAGAACTTTTGGAACTTTGGGTTGGCACGGGGCATTGTGGGAAGGCGGGCGGTACTAAAATCATTCAGGGGACGGACACAATTTTTCATTGCACCTTGTATGGCAAACGATACAGACATCCCAAGACACATTTTGGTCACGGTCCAAGCAGTTTGCGTCCTTTTCTAATACATCTTCAGTACATAAGCCTCCTTTTAGTAGGCATCTATAGGCAAGCCGCTTTGGCCTTATTAATGCGTCTAAAGACATCTCCCAATGTAACCTCTCCCAGTAAAATACACCCCTGTATCACCTCACCTATCCCTTGAGCTCGATGAGGGTCGTTGGGGCACCATGACTTAGGTCCACAATCCTCCTCTATTTAACTCTGTCCTCCGCCGCCCTTATAGCTTCAGCTAAACTCAATCCAGCCCACTCTTTTCTATTGCCTTCCCACCTCTTTCTCTAGCTGCCTACCCCCTTTTCGACTTCCTGGCACTGTCCCTTGTAGTACAGTTTTTGCAAGCCCTGGCGATCTTGCCACATGAGCAAACCATCTCAGTTGCGTTTCATTACGGTTGTCGGTTGTAATGTGGTCCCGTATATACTCCTATCTAAACTGTGCATGTCAGGGACGTGCTGCACAAGAGCCTCAAACAGATATATGTAACCTGGCGGATGTGAAAGGAGGTACACTGTATTCAATATATAATCCCATATTTTGTCTAGAAAATGCCATCCATACGTAGATCATGCCTGTATAGCCTGGGTGCCGTCCTCCGTAGTTATCGCTGGCTCTCAATTGTCACTGGCTACCACGCGGTACCAGTAATATATGACAGTACCCAGGCTAGGCATCTGTTCTGATGCATGTCAGCTATATATGATCCAGCTGTCTAAATATAGTACCAGGCAGTGTATCAGACAAATACACACAGGTGTTTCCGACTCCCAGACCAACTGTTTCACTTGCCGGTGGAAACTGTGCGATGTGTGTGTCAAACCCCGGGCGGAATGCTAACAGACCCCGGGCCCTACACATTCCTACAGCGTGTAAGTTTTGGTAAGACGTACACCATCCAAATTCCTGGGATGTTCACGTATTACAGATAATGACAGTTCAAAATCATGTGGGTGGTTAGTAAAATGGGTCGTCCATAGCCTTCACTTTGGCTAGTATAAATGTTACAAAAGTACCTAACATAGTACAGAGCTAAAATGAATAAAGAACAGACCTAAGGCACCTAACCTCTGCTGGACAGTAAAATAGAAATGTGTGCATTGATTACTTTCTGGGTACTTATCAACCAAGGATTGAGGTGCTCAAGAATTCATTCTTTCCTAGAACTATCACAGAGTGGAACTCGCTGTCACCAAGTACAGTAGGAGCATTGTCATTAGATAGCTTTAAACAATGTCTAGAGTTAGATGTTCAAGGGTTAGGTGTAACAAGTCAATCGGTGTAATGTAGCCAGCTGCCGCCGCGCCGCGTGCCCGCGAAGCTGGTGTGTTACGCCGAAGGGCGGTTATACCGGCTATACAGATATCTACAGATACAGAACATGTCGGGTGCGGCAAAATCATGTACTCTCTAGCGAATCAACTCCCTCGGCATGTCATCTCCGAGTCTATTTGACCGATCTCTATTTTTTCCAGCCATCTCCCAAAGCCTGATAGAGGCTAGTACAACCCCCCAGGCACCTCTGACCCACTACAGATGACAGTCATCCCACAAGAATGTTAGAACACATCAATGGAACTAAAGAATGTACATGTACATGCTCACCTATCAAAGTTAACAGCTCAGTTTTCCTACAGAATGACTACTGCTTTCTTATTGTGTTGGACTACTTGGAGGACAGTTTCAATAGTCTTTTTCAACTCCAATGGTTTCCCAACTCTGTTGTAGCGTCGGGTGGTGTAGAGCACTCGACTATGAAACAGCGAGATCCGGGTTCGATTCTGAGTCGTACCCGGGACATGTCTGAACATGCGCCCCGACGTTGTGTCCTTGGGAAAGGCACTTAACACATCTTTCCTCACTCCACCCAGGTGTGAATGGATACCTAACTTCGGTTGGGGAAAGTCGTATTGAGGTCACTTTGTGGTGCCGAATGGCAGCCGCACAGACCTTTGCGACAGTTCCACAAAAATTTGTGGAACAAATATGTGTATCATGTGTATTATTCGATTGTTGTGTTTGATTTGTATTGATTTGTATTGATTATTATGTGATACCCTGCATCAATTCAGCTGTATGAAGCTGCGACTGCACGGGTACTGTTTGGACATCAAAAAAAACATTTACTCTCCAATGCAGTTATGTATCAGACAGCCCACTCTCTTTAAAGAACAAAGTGCACATTCGCTCCCAGTCTATCACCAGGTGCCTGGTCCAGGACTTGTTCGCCAACAGCTGGAAGTGTTCTACCTGACAAAAAAGCCTGGTCAAGGCTACCTGTTATACACATGGGACCTGGACATGATCAAACTTGCCAAATCTATCCATTTTGTATACATCGTTTAGGCTGTTACATACCCCAGGCCCGCTTAAAATGCCTGGATATCAGCAAATCTGCCAAATATTCCCCCATCTGATAAAACACACTGTGGATGGGGAACATGACTTATGACATGTCAGTCAGCGTTGTACTTACTTTAATACATACATGTACCTGTACTGTCTTTGACTATCTTTGCTAGGATTTGACTTCTGTGGTTCTGTAATGACAGTACTTTATCTATAGCAAAAGTGTAGCTATGTTAATTAAGAATATGAAGAATATGAAGACAGCAAACCTGACTGGCTGTGTGGATATCATTTATCATATCCGTGTTCAGTGTTATCAGAGCCAAATGTCTTGTAAGATGGTGTACCACATAGCAAAAACCCACAGGTATGGAGCTTGAATCCCAAGTCCACATGTTACTGGTAGTGTTGCAATCCAGTGATCAAATAATTTTTCCTTCCCATGTTTGAGGAGAGCCTCCAGCTTATTAACCCTTTTCACTCTGACCAATTCTTGGGGACATAACTGGCTATTGTTGCTCTCCTAGTCATGTGAAATGGCTGGTACAGCATGTACATGTATGATATAACATGGCATACATGTAAGCATACATGAATGGAGTGACATTTCACAGCTACATGTAGGATTGCTGGGCAAGACTTTCTGCATGGCTTCCGAACTAATTTCTGCTGTCTTCCCTAGGATCGCCAGAGAATCTGACACATGTACAGCCAGCTGCACTTTGACTTCCTCTAATAACAACAAGGACTACATTTTCAGTCTGCAAGTTAGGAAGCTTTAAACTCTGACAGTCCTCTCTCAGAAGGATGGAGAAAACTGGTTGTCAGATTGTCTGTGGTGCCCAACAGTTGAATAACTAAGACTAAGGGATAGATGAAAAGAGTCCTCTCTCATCACAGATCGATGGTTGGGTTCTTCATGGGCATCTTGAACTTCTTGCTGGCACGTCTTGCGGACCTCATACAGAAGTGGTTCCCGTAGATCTTGGCTCTCAGCCCTTCAAACTCCACTGAGAAGACGGAGTTGGCCTTGGGGACAGCTGGGGAGATTTGAACAGGTTGACGTTACCACAAACACGCATGGACGGAAGGAAAACAATCTTAGCTAGTGTGATCTGTAACAACAATTGTAACTACAACACACAGATAAACAGTCAAGGCAAACTGTGGTCACTTTGGTAAGACTGAAAACCCTAGACGGATTCCAATATCAGACCCTGACAACATTCAAGCTGCATCAAACTTCCCATGATTCCATTTGGATTAGAACTGTGTACCGGTTTGCTGGACCGCTTCCGGACTTTAAAAAATGTTTAGGTTAAAGTCCAAAAAACTAATTCTGGACTTATCACAAAAAAAAAAACATGTCATGTATCCGTTTTCCTTTCAAACCACCTAAAACCTTTCATAGATTGCAAAATCTGTGCTACAAAATGAAGACAACATTGCCATTGGGCATCGTCAAGTGTCTGCCTCCATGTTATGTGGCCAAAGTTTTGCCCAAACAACATTGCAAGGTTGTCAACATGCAATTTTTTATATGCCATGGGTTTAGGTCCGGACTTATGAGTCCGGAACTGAACCTAAACCTCTGGACTTGAATCCAGACCTGAACCTAAATGTGGGTTTAGGTACACAGTACTAATCTGGATTATAAGGAGGGTCATGTGCAGGATGTCATGTAGATCATCAAGGAAAACAATGGATTAACCTTCTCAATGCTAAGGTAGCCCTTTAGCACCAGATTTGTAATGGTTATGGGGCTTGGCGTCAGGGAAAAGGTTCAACTGATTCCTCTAACACAAGAACATCCCTCAGTGGCCATGGTTTTCTAGAAGCTTTGAAAGTACATTTGTATATGTAATGCGACAAGAAATAAGTCTGATTTAGAATACTTGATGATTTAGTTCATAGGTGGAAAGTTGACTAGAAATGGAAAGCAAGGGCAAAAGCAACAACAGATGAGAAAAGGCAAAAAATGTTGACTACATGATTGTATAAAACTAAAAGACACTGATTGAAGGCAAAGCACTGTCAACTTTTCCATCTGAACCTTTAAGTCACAGAAACAGCTTAGACCTTTTTTTCTATGACAGACCTGCAACAGTACATGTATGTAGACAAAGTACTAACTGTTGTCCTCTTTTTTAAAATCCTGTTATTGCTGGCTGTATTTCAGGCTCAGTGCTGTTGCCTGTTTTAATCTTGTTAGTTTAACTTAGAATAGAATCAGGACAACTTCAGAAGCGAGATAACATGCAGGTAAAACACTGTTGGTTTCCTTAATCTTGTTAGTCCAGCTTATGGAATCAGGATAGGTTTAGAGGCATGGAGCACTCTGTTTCCTTCTGTAATCTTGTTAGTATAACTTATAGAATTAGGACAAGACAGATAGCCCTCCCCCTGGCTGTCCTTGTGTTGACAGATTTGGGGTGTCTGCTATCCACAGCCTGCAGACTTAAGAGTGGCTACCCTAATTTCTTAGAGGTCAGAGCGTCCTAAGGCCACACCAATTTAATTCATTGGTTCACGGATTCGCCCACATAATTTTTTTCTGATTTGCAAAAAAAAAAAAAAACATTTCAGCCTCTGAATCAACTCCAAAATGCTCATATTTTGGTCCCAACAGTTAAAGGAGGTCCCTTCTCTTCAGAGTTGTTACAGTTTTTCCATCTATCAATGCAGTGGTTTGATTAAAGGTTTGAAATTTTATGTTTGAATTACAAACTAGCCTGGTATGTTGACTTCATGGCTTCTATCATGCCATTTGGGGCTATCATAGGATGCCTGGGTCTGTTTTTATCTTCTTTTTTTTTCGCCCTGCCGCTTCATATTTTTTCCGAAAAAAATCAGAGAACCAACAAATTAAATTGGCGTGGCCTTAGTTATAATTTGATGATGAATAAAGCTGTCGGCAGCATAAGGAAAACCTCAACATGGTTCAGATGGGCTACTCCTGGGTAAGACTTGGGGGCGGTTACTAAAATAAACCTCACAGTAAAGGTGTGAAGGTTCACACGAATTTTGATGGGTGCAAGCAGGGGCCTTATCAGGGCTCGAAATTAAGGGTCGTCCAATGGCCACTGGCCACTAAAATAATTTTATGCTGGGACAACTAAAAAGACACTTTGGAACATTTTTTTTGACAATCGAAAGATAATCAACATCAAAATGTCAGCTCTTCTTTTGTTTATCAGGCACACGTCCCAGCTTTTGGATCCGGAAAAGTCCCCCCCGAATTTCCTGTCCATTCTGCAATTATAGTGCACCTGGGAGTGAACATAAGCAAAATAAAGTTGACTTAAAGTTAAAGTCATACAATACTTTCCAACAACAGGTTGGGACAGTTCATCCTCACTTCGTGACAATTGAAGTTAATTTTTGGGACACCGCTGGGACAATAGGAAGAAAAGTTAATTTCGAGGCCTGCCTTATTTGTGAGGCTGTCAGCCTGTCTGCACATGAAGAAGAGATATGAGGCATCATGAATATGTTGTGTTACACAGGCTGCCATGCTTGACACTGATCCTTGGAGATGTGAACAACCGTGTTTGTGTGTACAATCCTCCACAGGCATGTCACATTGTGTTCAACTGACATACATGTACTTGGTACTTTTATACTTGCTTTTTCTTCACCACAAAGGTATTTCAGGTCTTGTGCTTATAGTAGATTTCTTTATTTGATGTTTGTCTCCACGTTTGTATTTGTGGGTTATCTGATACCAGTCACCACTACCTTGATATCCTGTGTATTGATCTGTTTTCATTGCAAAGAAAGAGAAAGAGAGAGAGAGAGAGAAAGAGAGAAAGAAAGAGAGAAAGAGACAAAGAGAAAGAGAGAAAGAAAAAAGAGAGAGAGAGAAAGAAAGAAAGAAAGAAAGAAAGAAAGAAAGAAAGAAAGAAAGAAAGAAAGAAAGAAAGAAAGAAAGAAAGAAAGAAAGAAAGAAAGAGAGAGAAAGAATTTCAATTTCTGCTTGGATTTAAATCTTCTTTTGCCTGCTGTGATCAAGGAGTTTTTTCCAGTACACAGAAATTTAGGGGCATCCTTGAAGAATGAATTTTCAAATTCAAATTGACCAGGGTTGGAATACTTCATTCTAAGTACTGTAATTCACTTTATGTTCACGGTAGCAAAAGTTTACAGTCTGAGAAAAATGGACATGTTCACGGAACTATATGTTCACGGTGGCGACAGGTGCAGGAAAAAGAAAGTGCAGTAATTATTTGTTAACTGTAATGATAACTTCACGGTACAGAAGTGACAGTGAAAACAGTGAACATAACAGTACAGTGAAAAAATAAGGAATTACAGCACATGTATATACTTTATGTACATGTTTATCCAATGATGAAATCCCGATGTAAATAACTACTTATTCCGGATGTCAAGGGGTCTATTTAAACAAATGCTAAACAGGCCTTGTCCTTGTGTCCAATTCTTGAGTGTTTTATAAGCTGCAGAATTTAGGTCAGAAGTGCAGTCTGTGTCTTCTCACAGCTATAACTAGCTGTTTAAGGTTGTTTCCTGGTTTAGCAGATGAGTTGTCTCAGGACCGGGGTTTCCTGCCAGCTCCGCGGAGGTGACACGGTGCGCCCCTGCCACGGAGGAATGTTAAACACTGCCCGGACCAACAGGTGGTGGGATATCAAAGGAACGTTCCCAGCGAGGAACACACTCCAGACCGCCAGGCACAGCCGACAGTAGGAAGACAGGTAATTACAGAACAGATAGGCAGGCAGGTCACAATTACATACAAGATAGGGGGTACGGTCTGGCTGTATTAGGTACTAATCAGACAGAGTGGGAAGTTATCAGTTCAGGGTTGGGAACTGTCCTGTGTAATCCCTCTTCACATCTCGGCAGCATTAGAAGACAACATTCAGGGCATTCTGAGGTTCCCAGGATTTCCTGTTACTTTATAATGTTTCTGTTCTAGTGGTCTGCTGGCATACTGCCCCCTACCTATACACACATGGTACAGTTAGATCTGTTCTATGCAGCATCACTTACAGTACCAGTACAAAACTTCTATATTGTGGATACCTGACTCTTCTTTCAAAGATAACCAATTTACAACTTTGATGCCATTCAGTTCCTTGGAAAGAAATGTTTGTTGTGTTTCCTGTTTCAATTCAGAAAAGATTAGGGTCAGTAGGCAGGGATTATCTTTTTTTTCTTCTTTTTTTTTTGACTTCAGTGATATCTATATAGGGGTCCAACTTATATATATAGAATACAACACGGGGTATTCCGTATCGCCCGAGGTATCGGCCCGACCGCGGGTCGGATCGCCCGACGGCCGCAGGCCGGAGGGCGATCCGACTCGCGGGAGGGCCGGGACCGAGGGCGATGCGGAATACACCGTGTTGTATTTTATTTATATCATACCCACCCAAGAAAACGCGCCTTTCAATGCAATATGAGCCAAAAGTTGGTGCCCCTAAACCCTCAAATGCAACAACATCAGTTCCAACGTCCGGATTCTGTATTCGAATTTTCGAAAGGGGCACACGCGGTTAGGGCGAAACGCGTTC